TAAGGCATTGGGTTGTTTATCATGAGGTTTTCTTGGCATATTTCTTTGGAGTGGGGTTGCCATCACCATCCTCTGAGGCTGACTTGCCCAAGATCGCCCAGTGGGTTTCCAAGCAGGGTTTTGAACCCTGGTCTCCTGAGTTGTAGTTCAATACTCAAACCACTATGCCACACTGGCTTAATGTAGTTTAACTTGGCTTGACTGAGACATTATACAGAGAGCGACCATTGTTTTTAATATGCAGCTATTTCTCATTCACTCGCACTTGTGAAGTTCTAGGTTGTAGGGGGAGCATCTCTGCCTTTGATGATGTTTTTGGCCTGCAGTTGCTGTTGGCCCAAGCCAGCATAGACAGCAGTGATGGATGATGGGTACTGCAGTCCAAAAAGATCTAAAGGACCACAGTTGCCCATCCGTGTTTTGCTAAGTCTTGAACATACTGCCAGTCAATATCAGTGAGAAGATGAAAGCTTATTAATATCATAAAAGGGAGAATATTTCTCTCTGTACTTTATATTCTATACAGCAGTTCTATATAGCAATAAAGAGATCATTCTCTGAGCACTGGTCCTTATGCAGGTGCATTAGCAGCAGCCGTGTGCAAGAGAGAGCTATCAGAATACAAAGAGCAATTGAATTTCATTTAGGCATAATTCTGTAGTACAATCGTACAGTATTGAAAGTGGTCAAGGCCGAGAGAATTTAAGACTTCAATCCTTAGACACTGGTGAATGGTACTTGTATACATCAGTTAGCAAAGTTTCTGACAAAAAAGGTCCTTTTTACATAACCATTTTACACAAGCCCAGTTGGAAATTTTTGGCCTCATTGGCATTGGGAGGATGCTGAAAGAAGGCTGGAGAAAGGCAGATCTTCAGTGTTGGGTTCCAGCTACACTAGGCAATCCTACAGTAGCTGTATGTGCTTACATACAACAGGCAAATAAACAGGTTCCTTCAGAATCACTAAGGTCTAAAGTGCACTGCAGAAATAATCTAGTTTGAGATCACTTTAACTGCCCTGGTTAATTTCCTAGGGAATCCTGGGAATTGTAGTTTATTGTGGCACCAGAGCTTTCTGACAGAGAAGGCTAAATGTCTCACAAAATGACAGTTCCCAGAATTCCCTAGCACTGACCCAGGGCAGTTAAAGGCTGTCTCAAACTGGATTATTTCTGCAGTGTGTTTTGGACCTAACTGAGCATGTGTGAAGAGCAAAGCAGAAAGAAAAGGAGAAAGCAGATTAGCCTGCCTCTCCAGCTACCCTGGCATGTTGAAAAAGCATACATCTATAAATTTCACCACCAAAATGAAAATCATAAGAAAAGTGGAGGGGTGTGTGTGTGATTTTTATAAAACAAAATTTTCCAAAATAATAACAAATAACAAAAATAACATAATTTAAACATCATAAATTTACAGGTTCATGAACATCTACAAGCAACAATCAAACAACAGAAAAACAAAGCACCACCTAGAATAACAATACAACTTCTATTAAAAATACATTAATACTATTTCCAACTAGTTTTCCCGGGTTTCTGGGATTTGATATTTGAAACAGAAGTAGAGGCTTTTGAAAGGAAAAAAAAATCATCCTTTTAAAAAGACATTTTCAAGTGTTTCTAGAAGATACAAAATGTTTTCATTTACTTATGCAGGGTTTACCCGACCTGGTGGTTTAATTTCATACATGCATAAAGTTAGTTCTGTATGAAAACTTTGCTGAAACACATTGAACTGCTTTTCTTTTTTGTGGTGTAGGAAACTATCCCTATTCTTTCAATGTTATTTCTACTTGTGGTACCAAAGTTTCTGTTAAAGAAGTAAAGTCTCATTGAGGTTAGTACTTATATCTGAACAGATGTCCATAGGATTTTCTTTTTGTCATATTTTACCATAAAATAGGATGGGTAGTTGGCATAGCATTGTCCCATGTTTAGTGTACTGTTGTAGTTGCTGCTTTGTGCCTTCAAGTCATTTCTGACTTATGGTGACCCTAAGGCAGTGCTTCTCCATTATTTTCTGTCATGCCCCCCCAGGAAGAAGAAAACATTTCGCGCCACCCCGCGCGACTGTAAATAGTCACATGGGCGGGTTTGGCCAATCAGGATAGAGCATGTCGGGCTGCTACTGGGGCTGCACTGGGACAATCTCCAATGTTCGCGCCCCCCTTTATGGAGCCTCACGCCCCCCCTGGGGGGCACGCCCCACTATTTGAGAAATGCTGCCCTAAGGCAAGGTCACCCAGTAGGTTTCTGTGGCCAAGTGTGGATTTGAACACTGGTCTCCCAATGTTCTAGTCTAACACTCAAACCACTACCTCACACTGGCCCAGTGTAGTGTTAATGATGTATTATTATTTTTATTAATTTATATCCTGTCTTTCTCCCAATAATGGGATTCAAGGCAGCTAACAACATAGGTAAAAACAGTACAGATTAAAAACTGTACAAAACTTTGATACAAGTATAGATATAAAAGTTATTTTAAAAGCAAATAAACAATTTATAAAGTTAAAACATTAAACATTAAATATAATTAATTAAAAGATTATGCAAACCATAAAACAGCACACAGCAAACCATCAAAAGCTCATCTCATTTAGTTTCTAAAAGCCTGGTGGTCCAAGAATGTTTTCAGTTGTCAATGGAAGGAGAGTATGGAGGGAGCTATCCTGGCCTATCTAGGGAGAGAATTTCAAAGACTGGAAGCAACCACCAAGAAGGCCTTCTCCCTTGTTCCCATCAAACGAGCCTGAGAATATGGTGGGAGAGAAAGAAGGGCCTTTTCAGAATATCTTAGGGGGATTGCAGACTGCCAGAAATAGTGCAAATTGAGTCCACTTTTAGGGTTAGGGTTAGGGAATCATGGGAACTGTAGTTTATTGTGGCACCAGAGCTCTCTGACAGAGAAGGCTCAATGTCTCAGAAAAAAACCAATTCCCATGATTCCCTAGCACTAACGCTAACCCTAAAAGTGGACTCAATTTGCACTATTTCTGGCAGTCTGCAACCCCCCTTAGACCCATTAGAGGTCTAAGATATTGTGGAGAGGCCCTTCTTTCTGTCCCACCATATCTGTCCCATAAAGGGTGATATAGTCCTTCAGACTGTTGGTCAAACTGGCTGGGGCTTCTGGGAGTTGGAAGTCCAAAAGATCTGGAGGACCAAGTTTGGAAACCACTGTTGTATAATGCAATACTACTCATCCCAGAAGATGGTAAGGGAGCCATGAGGCAAGTAGAGTGGCACAGTTTTGCAAATAGTGAAGTTCTGTACATCTTTGCTGTGATCTTTATCATTTTTTCTGGGTGCATGTTGCCAATGAAGATTTTCTCAGGCTTGTTGTTCTGCTTAGAAGAGGAAAAGGCCCACAACTGATCATCCTAATGTTGTCTACTCCTAGGTGCTTTGAACAGATTATGTTACTAGATCCCGTTTAAAGAATTGCTCAGTTTAAAAGCTGCATAAGAAAATTGGTACCTGTGAAGAACTAATGAGTTTTTAAAAATCTGATATTATCAGTTGTTTGTGCCTAATAAAGGCAACTCCTATAGTCTCCCAAACTCTAGCTCTGAAAATAGGTGATTAAATCACCATTTGTGATTTATTCTACATGGATGTTGCACTGTTTTCCATTTCAATTACAAGCTTGAGTTTTCTCTGTGATCCTGGAAAGAGACATATTGGCCCTGGAAAGACATAGTAAAATGCTTGGAATCTTTCATCCTTCATTATCCCACACTTTGGAAGACTGTTGATCTGTCTAGTAGACGACCTCCAATAATATCCTATTACTGGTATATCACAAGATGTCATTCTATCCCCAGTGCTGTTCAACATCTACATGAAATTGCTGGGAGAGATCATCTGGAGGCATGGGGCAGGGTGTTATCAGTATACTGTCGACACCCAAATCTCTCTTTCTATGCTGTCAAAAACAATGTCAGCTAAGGATATTGTGTCGCTTCTGAATGAGTGCCTGGAGCAGGTAATAGACTGGGTGAAGACAAACAAACTGAAGCTGAATATAGACAAGGTAGAGGTGCCTATTTTAGAGGGTCCTAACCTGGGCTTGGAGATGTGTCAACCAGTTGTGTGTGAGGTTACACTCCCCCTGAAAGACAGTGTTCACTGCCTGGGAGTGCTGCTGGATCCATCACTCCAAATGACAGCTTCGATATATATGACAGCCAGGAGTGCTTTGTATCTCCTTTGGCTGTTATGCCAGCTGTGCTGCTTCCTAGAACTGGTGGACCTAAAGATGGTAGTGCACGTGCTTGGAATCTCAACGCTGGACTTTTGCAATGTGCTGTACATTGGGCTATCTCTGTACCATGTTTGGAAACCTGAATTAGTTCAAAACATGGTGTTCAGATTGGTTACTGGTACATCTAGGAGGGATCATGTTATCCCAATATCAAGATTACTCCATTGGCTGTGAATTACTTTTCCGGCAAGGTACAAATCCACTCCATACACTCAGGTCCTCTGGGGGAGGCTAGATAAACAATTAATCTGGCCTTGATAAACAATCTCACCTGCTTTAAGGTAATTTCCTGAGTTTCAAATGAAAACCAGAAATGTCAGAAGAGATCCTAAGTAACAGCAGAACATAAAGTTATGATGGTCTTCACTTGCTATTTGTCTTTAATCACCTATTTTCAGAGCTAGAGTTTGAACATTGGATTCTTTTATGTTTGGATTTAATTTTTAAACTAGAAATTTTCCTTTTGTTTCCTTAAGGGTACGTGAATGCTCGTCTGGAAAAGGAAACACCAATTTTTAACAAACAGAGGATAGATTTCACCCCTCCTGAGAAGATTAACAGCCTGGTTGTCTCCTCTAACCAACTGTGTATGAGTCTTGGGAAAGACATACTTTTTAGGTAATTGGTGCAGACTTTGTGTTATCCCATTCCTTTTATTGAGACTTCTGAGTGTGGGTGTGGTGAAGAAGTATCCAACCACCCTGCTGCATCTTTCAAGGCTTGTTTCTCAGTTTGTGATAAACTGTGATTTGAAAGGAGGGAACAGTCAATATTATATTTTTTATTATATATAATAATAACTGTTGCTTAATTTCTGCACAACCTGTATCAGAACTGTCACTTCAGATTTTAAACCAACAGTTGTATTCCTCAAACTGAAAAGAAATTGACTTGTTGTGCATTTGA